CCCTCCTCACTCTTTTGTCTCTTCTCAGGTTATTATTTTTTATATTTAGGCCAGTGCTTGTAGGGTTTACAGAATGTTCTATTTTTGAAAATGGACTCAAAGGCTCTACACTAACAGAACCAAAAAGGTCTAAAAGGTCTTCAACAGGCAAGCAATTAATAATTAACATCAGTTAAAAATAGGTTTTCAAAATCGCAAGAACACTTGAATTAATGTGAGGGGTTTGAGTGATTTTATAATTTTATTGTATTTTTTTTTTTACAGAAAAATAAAATCCAGATAGACTTAAACATTGTGATCCACTAGGGATGATTACCGGTTTCACGATAAACCACGATAAAATGTACTGACGGTTTAGCCTGGCTAACGCCAGACCACGTGCCATTGAGAATGAGACGTAGTCTGGAAACCACGTTCATTTTCTCGTATTTGAGGAGTGGTTTACGAATGCCCAGAGCCGTATTATTGGGTGCTACGAATGTCTATCAAATGCGCATGTACGTAGCTCATAGCCAATCGGTTCAATGATACCAGATGACGTATGTAGAGCGACAGAAAATTAGACGAGAAAGAAGACGATGGGTCCGAATTTTAGGAGATTTATGTAAACACAAATGCTGTATCAATAGGTAACTTCGCGTCTACAGCCAAGATGGATCCATAGATATACGTAAACAAAGTAACTGCTTTGGTGTGTCGCATGTACATCGTCATTGTCTTGCTGCTCCCTCCCTGTTCTGTGATTGGTTCCCTATCTCAGGGAAGGCCGCATGGGGAAACCCAGGCTACAGATGGTTAGTATTATCGTTTCAAAATTGAATTATCATGAAAACCATGTTTGATTTTAATAACTCAGTGTACACCCTGTCGGCCAGCAATATTCTGGCGCAGAATGTTCAAATTTTCATACCATCCCATCCCTATGATGCACTACATCACAATATTCTCACAATCTATACCATTCATGTTTGAGGTTGGTTATTACAATTTAAAATAACTGTTTTCTATTTAAATATAAGTTGAAATGTAATTCCTGTGTTGGAAAAACAGATTTTTCAGCATCATTACTCTAGTCTTTAGCAGCACATGATCCTTCAGACATCATTCTGATATCCCAACCTTTTGACACTTTGATTTTTGCATCAATTTGGCATAACAACATTAGAACAAAAATTGTACCCCATCTTATCTTGACATTCACTAAATGTGTTGACTCTAAATGGATAAAGCTGTGAAAATAATCCTATCATTTTTCTGCGTACCGCAAATAGACGGAAACTGTAACCTTGTGAAAGTGCTCTTGTTTGAACACAGTGTGGTAAGGAACTCAAAGTATGCGCAGACTTTGTTTTTGGTGGTTTTAACTGGAAATCTACTCTAAATTCCTTGAAGCGGGGTACAATAAAGTTGAATCCTAGATACGTCTCTGGGCTGCAACATCTGAATGTTATTACCATTACGAAAGCCTATAGCTAGACCATGTTTAAAGTTCAGCAAAATGCATGATATGATATATTACAAATATCATTTTCTTTACAAGACTAAAGTACTAGCAATCAAAAATTAAGCGTCATGCAAAATAACCAACAGTGGTGCATTCAAATACAGCAGTCTATATTATAACACAGTCACTTTTCAATTATGTCATGACCATTGCTACGCATTTCATCATAACAGATGAGTCATTCAATTTCTGCAAAGTCTATAATAATTGGAGAAAACTATGCATTAGCGTTCCCATTCATCTCAATGTCAGTTTCTCAGTGCTCACATGCTCCTCTGAACTGCAATATGGGATTTAAATCGCTCGTTTTTACTCATGTGCACTCAGTTGGGCACTTTAGTTCTCTATTTAAGGCTTGTGTAAAAAGTTGTGTTTCTGGTTTAAACGTGAGGGGTATAAGACAATGTTTACACTCCTCGAAGTTGCCTCTCAGCCTGCTACTTTAGGAGGCCCTTCTACTTGAATCAGGAGAAATCCTTTCAGAGATGGGCTGCCGGGATCAGAGGGTGGCTTTTCAACATGACAAAACCAAACCCATTTCCCTCCTTTTTTTTCTTTCTTTTTTTCCCTCCAACACTCTACAGGATGCCTTCAGAGCTTACACAATGCAAATCAGTCTGAGCCCCTTTCAGAGAGTGATTAATATGCATAGATGGCCCATCTTTATCAAACAACAAAAAATGGGAAACAAGTGGAGAACATTTGGGATGATTGGATTTCAGACAGCTTGCGCAAAATACAATTAATACATTTTACAACAAGGAGTCACAGTGTGAACAGTATATAAAGCATTAAATTATTATTATTATTATTTTAAATGGAAAAATATCCAAAAATCCTACAGCATGGGGGCAAATCTTTGGACCAGATCACAATTCCTTTCAGCTCAGATTTGACGCTTATGTTTTCATTGGCCTTAATCTTAGTAAAGCAATACCACTATAAAATTCACCCTGTAATCTCCATACAGAGGGAGTCCTTTTTTTCTGAGAGGAGAGGTTCAGAGGTGGACCCCTGCCCATAGAAATAAAGTATCTGGTCAATTTTAATAAGACTTTTAAGAGTGATAAATGAATTATTTCCTATTCAGCAGGCATACATTGAGGCCTTGAGTGTCAGGGTTTGTCATGGTTACTGTAACTCAGCCAAAAGATGGAAAGTGGAGAGCAGTGTAATTTTAATCTCTCCCAGTCCTTTCATTTTAGCTTTGAACTTGCCACAGAAAAAGGAGTTCCAGATGTTCACCATCTTGCAATTGTTTCTTTATTTTTCTTCAAGTGTTAACTAATCTTCTACTTCGCCCTCCTCTTGAGGTCAGGGGCATGTGCAATTTTTAAAGCTCACCAACCTTCATTTATTTCTTTTTGAGGTACTTCAGAGGCTGACGTTTATGACTCCCTATTTGGCTCTTTATACTTTTAATATGCTGAATCACAGCCTGAAGAAACAGTTATATGTGGGTTTATGGATATTTATCTGTATTCTGCACAAACAAACAGCTCTCTGTCAACATCAACATGTCAGCACCATCCAACAGCATGTGCCCCTAGTCAACACTACAATAATCCCTTAGTGATATGAAAAGATAAGGAGAGGCATAGAGGGAGAGAAAAAAAAAGAATGACAGATGCAGGTGTTCAGTACCGTTACACCTCAAAACAGCATTGTTCAAACCCACACATGCGCCCAACACTATAACTGTATACAGTAAATAAAAGTAAAACACAATAGTCTTTAATGGTAAATTCATAAATGCAATCATTCTTCAAATAGGACACAGGTTTTTTTTAAAAAAAAGAGGGTACTACCATGTACAGAACTGCACTATTAACATCCTGCCCTAATTACACACAAATTAAGGACACCTTCTATAACACGCCAAACACACCAGGACAAAGTCCCACAGCTGCTAGGAGGAACCTCAAACCTGCTGCGAGGTTTGTGAAGTCCTGCCATGACAAAAGGGCAACCAGTGGGACAGGACCACCAACTGAAAAATAGCATCATCCCTGTGCATCATGCATACAAATGATAAACACACACAGTAATGGCTACCACTGTACAACCCCATTCCATTTCACCATGCACTTGACTAAATATATAATGGACTTGCATTGTGCATTATATTATAGGCTACTTTATTCTATATTCCATATCTGTCACAATACCACTGCACTATGTAGGTACTGAATGTTGTTGTTGATGAAACATATGGGCAAATTTTATGATAAATGACTGCCACATTATTATTTTTAAATGTTTGTGCATATGTGTGCAGATATTTATGCATAATGCCAATCATTTGCCAACGAAAAGCTTCTGTTTGGCCATGAGAAAGAGAGCTAGGAGGTTGGGGGAGGAGGGAAGGGGGAGGGGTGACAATATAATTCATTCCCGCCCAAGTCTTAGTGTCTGATTGGCTGGAAATGATCATCCATGCTTTCAAAACATTTACAGATTTTCATTCTTCTTTATGCATGCACTCATTAAACTTTCACTTGGTTTTCTAATTGGTTGTCTGGCCTGCTTATAAACAGCCTGGATATTTCATTACACATGCATGAGAAGTGGAACTTCAGTCTTTAAAGGGACAGTTCACCCATTTACTCATCCTCATGTTATTTCAAACCAGTTTGACTTAGGCTACTTACTTACTAGAACACAAAAGGGGAGGTTGGGAATTGTTTTTGTGACCTGACAGCCTCACCGTTCACATATTTTCTCCATACAATACGATTGAATAGTGACTGAGACTGTTAGGCTACTGCCTCACATCTCTTTATGGTTCCATTGAAGAAAGTAAGCTGGTTTGGAACAAGTTGAGGGTGAATCAATAACATAATGTGCTAAATGTTTTTACTAAACATTAATAACAAGAATCCTCATCCAAGGGTGAGATGTTCAACTCGCTCAAGTTAACACGAGCGCTCTCAGCTGCCTCAGCACCACCGCGACCATCCCGAATATAAACACACAAACACACATTCAAATACCAAACAATAAACTTTGACCGACTATTGAGACGGTTTGATGGAGATATTTTTAAACAACACACCAGGTTGTTGTTATTTTTGTTGTTGTTGTTGTTTTTGTCTCCCCCGACACAAATTTCGAAGGAGTCAGGGCGCAATAATGTCCACCCAACCACACAACAACACGATTTCGCGCACTTAAGATGGCAATAATCACCCATTAAAAGTATAATTCTTTTTACGCAGAGATCCGAGACTTCACATCTCACAACTGGAGCCAGTTTGTACCAGTTTGACAGGGATGATGATAACAGAGTTTGTTTTATGAAACGGGCGGCTAGATATAAAACCGAGGCAGTTAATAACGCTGTATCACAGAATGAACCAGCGCGAACTACCTTGCATCTTCATCTTAACGAGCACTAACTGTTATGTCCTGTGGGGACAACGCAACGGGATAGCGGGGGAAACAAGGATGCGAAAGGATACAGTCTAACAGTGCAACTGAAACAAGTGCATCTTACCTGCATAACCAAAGAAAAGCAGTGTCCAAATGAGATCCCTTATCTGAAGCATTGCAATCTCTTCCAAAGGTAGGCTCCGTGTAGAATTTGTAAGGAGAGTTTGGTTCAGTAATTATCTAAATGACTACGATGCTTTGTCCCTGTTTCAGGTTGCTGTGATATCATGAATTGGTCCTCAGCCGTTGACACAGAATGTGCTCCGAGCGGCACAGCGAATGAGTGACAAGAGTCGCAGCACACGCAACACGAATTCATCCGCCGGCGCGAGCGTATGGAGCGCGCTGGATACACAGGCATAAACTAGTGCGCGCACTTTATTCGCTGTGGTGCCGCTGCAAATCACAAACAGCAGATGGTGCGCTCGGAAAACCTCGTCATGGACTGCAGGGGTTATTTGGATTATGAATTCTTATAAACTTGACAATGGTTACCTATTCAAATGCGGGTTTTGTTTCAACCAGACTCATTTAATGAGACATAATGAGCGAATGTGTGCTGCTTCTAATTTTAATCACAATATGTTCACCTTTTAAGCGTCCTCAAGCAACTGCATCAAGAACAAAAAAACATATTTTTAACTGTTTACTCTTTATTTCGCTCTTAAATTTGATTTACTGCATACTGCATATGAGAATAATAAAAAAAAATAGTCTACGTTCAAAATATTGTGTGGAAGTTTAACAAACTGATTTTAAGCTGGTGCTTAAACTTTATTAAATTCTGATTGTGAAAGTATAGTTCACCCCACAAAAAAAAAGGAAATTCTGTCCTAATGTCATGCTGTTACAAACCCATGGTATGACTTTCTTTCTTATTTCTGTAAAAACATAAAATAACATATTTTGATGAAAAAAAAAAATCTGAATAGTCTGGACAGTATAAGAAAATGAACAGGCCTGTATTTAAACAATTGACAGGATATTGTTTCATTTAATGAGGCCAATTAAAAAAGAAGCTAACTTGGCTAACTGATTAACTCAACCACAAGTATACAGTTTTTTTTATTCGCTTTGGTACTATTTTCACAAGTGAGGTGTACATTTTCAAAACTCTTAGTGCTAATATCACAACAGATCATCAAAAGTGCACTTTTTTCAAACATTTCATCATGTTTTCAACTGTGTTAGTACAATTCACACAATCACAAAGTATCCTTTTCACAACACAAAATAAGTGCTTCATCTACATTATTGTTTCATTCACAGTAACTGCCTTTCATAAAGCTCTTACTATCAAACTTTTGATTTGCATCTCTTTTTGTTCAGTTTAATACTTTTGTCTATTATTTAATCCAACAGATCTTAATGGTTAATCAATTAATCATTTGGTAAACCTATAGATTTTCATTTCAGCAATATACAGTATATGGATTTTGAGAACTACAGAAATAAAATGTGTGTTTGTATGAATATTTAAATTACATGTAACCAGTAACCACACATGATGAATACTCGTTATAGCTTTTTTTTTTTCACAATTTTTTTCACAGTCTGACCACAATTGGCCACTATGTACTGTAATGTGTGCACTAAATGTTATGTTTTGTTCTTCTTTAGTTACATTTCATTATAGAAAGTATACCTATATTACAATTATATCTGAAAAATAAAAACTATAATTTGCCTAAATGATTGTAGAGGATGTCTTCATTGATCCTTCATTTGTAGGCCTACATATATGATGGATATTTGGAAATTATAGATTATGTAAATGTTGGGTACTGTAAGTGTATTGCCTAATGTTACAGTAAAACTGTGTAATCTGTCTTTTATAGTACTGTAGCATATTCATTTCAGCACTTCTAAGGCCGATTTGAAACTTGTATCTTGCATTGTTTGCTGTTGGATGAACTGATTGTTAAAAGTACTAAACTGAAAGAAGATCATATTGTTGTGTTTCAGTGATTAAACCAAATGTTCTCATTACATATTACAATAATCTTGTGTTTGAAATAATTATTATGTGGACTGAAAACATGTGCAACTGACTGAAAGCATTACATCAGGTTTTGAAAGAATGACTAGCTGCGTTACAAGTGTGATCAGTTTGGATTTTTGTACTAAGAGTTTTGAAAATGTACACCTTACTTGTGAAAATAGTACCAAAGCGAATAAAAAAACTGTAACATTTATTTTTCTTTTTTATATATATATTTAGTATCATTTGACTTCGATTTATTTTTTTTTTATTAAGTGAATAGAGTAAATAGAGCCTGAAGGAAAAAAAGATTGAGTGTTCTTATTGTTGGATTCAGATCTCTTTTTGGTGACAGAGGTGAAAGTAAAGATGCTTTGTGATTTGCCAATGTCCTGATGTTGTCCCATGAAAAAGGTCAATAACAATAACTCCCTACAGATAAGACAGGAGTTGCATGGGGAGAGCATTGTTTCGGACTTATCTCAGTAATTTGTAGCCGAGTGTGAAACTGCATTCCATGAACTGTCAGAGGTTAGAGAGAAGAGGGCTCCTCCATCTCCGTTTTCAATCAGAATTCTACCCGGCGAGGTGAAAGCATTGCAAATTCTTCCACACACTGCTATGGTGGATCAACATACACTATGGAATGAGCCTTTTAAGGATAGGGAACTTAAATTGCCCATCTGCACGCTAGAGAAAAGAGAAAAATGCAGACATATAACCTCTTTCATCACAGAGAGTGATGGGGAGGAAAACGGCAGCCTGAGTTTACAGCTCTTCAGTGGAAATATTTGTTTATGTTTTAAACTTCAGAACGTCTCATTAAGGGCAGATTTTAAGAAAATAAACATACTGTGCATACTTCAGTGTGATGATGTAGGGCCTGCAGTTCCTCTAAATACGTAAATGACAGGGAATCAACATTTTCAGAACACTACCCAGTGAGGAAAAGGCAATTTAGCATGATGATTTCTAAAGGATCATGCGACACTGAAGACTGGAGTAATTGCTTCTAAAAATACAGCTTTGACATCGCAGGAATAAACTTTTATTTTTTTATTTTTTTATAATTCAAACTCATATTCAGAATATTATGGTTCTTACTTTATATTATATGTCAAATAAATGGATACTTTAAGGAAAAGATAATTTTAAACATGTTATTGGGTTATTTACTGTAAACATACGCGTAAGCAGATGGACAGACAGAGAGATAGAGAGGTAGATAGATATAGATGGAGAGGTATATATGTATTTGTTGATAGATCTGAAGATATTTTTAGAGAAATATCAGATGGATGGATGATGGATGGGTATTTATTGATAGACAGACTGATGGGTAGGAATATAATAGACATGTAGGTAGATATAGATGGAAAGTATGTATTTGTTGATAGATAGATAGATAGATAGATAGATAGATAGATAGATAGATAGATAGATAGATAGATAGATAGATAGATAGATAGATAGATAGATAGATAGATAGATAGATAGATAGATAGATAGATAGATAGATAGATAGATAGATAGATAGATAGATAGATAGATAGATAGATAGATAGATAGATAGATAGATAGATAGATAGATAGATAGAAACCGCCTCAGTCAGCTAAACTTTCAATTGTAGTGTCGCTACAATGTATAGGCCTACTGTTTATTTATATCAGTGTAAAGACAAATGAAACTGTCTGAGTATTCACAGTATCTTTTAATAGCACGCTTAATCCTGAGATTGATCTCACTATCCTCAGGACAGATGACTGACAGATGCACATCCATGCGCCTCCCTCCGTCAAGTCACTGCTCGATTTATTTTGTGCTCTAACACAGATGTAAAGATTAATCCAATGCGCTTCTCTGAGATCCGATTTGTTCCCCTCTGTTTGTCATTTCAAACTTGTCCCTTTCTCAATAAACAAGGCACATGGTGTTTGAAGGCACATCCTGCGGGGGACGTGAGCCAGCAGCAGAGAGCTACAACTGAAGGGCTGAATGATGGCCCTACTTTTGTTTCTCTCAATCTTTGCTCGTCTCTCAGAGCTAACAAGGCCTTGAGGACAATGGCCAACCAGCTGAATAGACTTGAGCATATTCAAAGTTTAGCCTTGAACAGTACTCTCACAACAAATGATTTTCTAATCATGTCTTCCATCACAGACCTTCTAATTTCTCATTCATGTCAATAAAAAGCATTTATTCATTACCAATAAAAATCCTTGTTCACATCGTTAATGTGCAGAAAGTTTCTGGTAACAGATTTCAGTGCTATTGAAAACATATGTATACCTCAGTTTCAACTCATAGTTAAGCAAATGAGTTAAGCACTGAAGTTATCAGGCTGTTGAGCAGATGGGGGCAAGGCATTTTATTCTGGCTCATCTAATTACTCTGAACTGCTAAATTACACATGTAATAATGCACTAAACCATTGTGGCATGCGCTCCAAGTCCCTGTATGATCATAAATGCTTAATGTTAAAATGCTTGAGCTGTGCCAAATGGCACCGAGCAAACACAGCTTTATTTTTGTGACACTAAGAACTTAAATGTAGCTTTGATTACTTGAGAAATGTAATGTATAACTGTACATGTAGTTTAACCCAAAGTCAAGGCTTACAAAATAGAAACTATTAACAAGAAAAACAATTTATCTTAACTATAGATAGACGGACGTAGAGGTAGATAGATATTTATGGTCAGAAAGACAAATCAATGGATGGATGGATTTTATGCATGTTCCTAAATCCATTTGTGGAACATCACTCACATCACAGTCCTTAAAACAATGTGCTCATCTCATTTTGTTTTTTTGTTCATCATACACAAGAAAATCTGCTTTAAATTCTAACACTAACATGTGAAGACACAGCATGTGACAACATCATTATACTTGCAAGTCATTCACCAGATTTCAGCAAGAACAAATTTAAAAGAAATGCTCAAGGACCCATATATCTTGCATGCATTTGCTCTTCAAAATGACTAAATTCCATTGCAGTGGTATACAAATGTTTACCCTGACCTGTCTTTTGCAATTTAGCAGTGAATTCCCCGTTAACACTTTAGAATACGGTTCCTCCGTTAATGAATAACTACACAAGAACTAATGAGTAACACAACATTAACAATCTAGTAACTATTATTAACTAACAAGAAACTCTGATTAACGAACTAGTAAGTAATAGCGCACAGACGAAAGTGGTAGTTCACTATTAACTAATCAATAACTACTATTTTTTTAATACTTCCCAGAGAACTACTGAAAAAGTTTATTACAATCTAGTAACTACTATTAACTAAAAGAAATTCTTAT